CAGTTTAGTTGGGATAGGCTATAGAACTCAATTAGACAGTTTTGGTCTGGAAAGTGGCCAGTGTATAGATAATTAAGTCTAGAACAAGGTTCTTTACTCAGGGTTTTAAAATAGCAATTTAAACTTGGAATTGACTTTGTAAGATATTAGTTTAGTTAGTGTATGTTTGATTATGACAGTGATTAAGTTTCTGCGTGGAAAATAGCTAGTCTGGTATAGGGAAGGGGTTAAGGAAGTAAAGTAAGTAAGTAAGTAAGTAAAAGCTTTATTAATGTGTCAATGTATTTAGTTTTCACAACTAAGTGGGGACACAACAAAAGAATAAAAATTATTTAGAAACAAGGAACAATTTTTAAGATTTTGGTGCCTAGTGTAGAATAGGGTTGCAAAATCCAGCTGATCATGATCTAGTGTAGGGTAAGGGTTTCAGTGTTCAGCGGCACACTCCCATACAAGGATTTGTCTATTTCTTTTTTCCATTCCTTTGAGTGATTTTTAGACCTTTAGGAGTCATGAAATCAAACTGCACAGGTCATTTGGTTTGAGGAACGCATTACTCATAGTCATATTTTGGCACAAAATATTAGAAATGATCAGGAAATGCCCTATTTTGACCCCAGATGCATTACAAAGATCGCCATTACGGGGGGTCCTTCTTACAATCATGTAACTACCAATTGGTCATGAATTTGTTGCCAAGGAAGGTTTCTAACCGTCATATTTTGAAAATCTCCTAAGGATAAGCTTTTTGCACAGGTTTGTTCCATTGAAGAGTCCTGCAAAAGTTCTAAATCACCCNACCGTCATCTTTTGAAAACCAGATCTCCTAAGGATAAGCTTTTTGCACAGGTTTGTTCCATTGAAGAGTCCTGCAAAAGTTCTAAATCACCCTATTTCACCAGTCACGTGACCAGAATAGGAAAAAAAGCCCTTAATCTTAAAAGGCATCTAAATCTGAAATTTTAAATGAGTGTCAATAGCATAACATTACGAACTTTCACGTGCTTAATGCTACGTGGGTTTTATGAAACTCGCAGTATAAAAGTTATGAGGTAATAAACAACCTTTTAAGCACACTCTCTACAACAGCTTTCCTCTTTTACGTGTAAACAGTAATTCCATTTGTACGATTACAGTAAAGAAGGCTAAGTTATATCTGATTCATACGAAATATCGGAACTCTTCCTCTTTTCTTCCAAGTCTTAGGGATTTAAGATTTTAACGCGTGGTTTGGGACTGGCACTAGTTACGCACACGAAATCATATTTTTCAAAGAAAACTCTCCCTCGTATAAAATTTATCATTAGCGCTACAAAACGCTCCATAATAGCTTTCCTCTAAATATCGCCTTCAGCAATCTCTTAGCAACTGCTCTAAATATGTAGAAGGACCCCCTTAATTTGAGATACTCATTTCTTGGCCTTTCCTTTCATTCAGTCATGTTCTATGGAAATAGAGTAAAACCTCTATTAAGCGGACACCGTCGGGACCTTCCCAAGTGTCCGCTTAATCAGTCCGGAATATCCCGATAAATTAGGACATCTGTGATGTCACGAAACTCACGTTTCAACCAATG